GTGTATTACGATAGAAATCTATTGTGACGGTAGCACACGCTGAGGCTATTAACACCAGCGCTTCCAACACAGAAGACTTTACCTCAGCGACAAATACTCACAGACTCGCGTGCTCTGCTGCTGCAGACCCACAGAGATGCGCAGGACACCTCTTCTGACTTAAGCTTTGAGTAGAACGCGAGGACACGCAGAGAAGAAAAGCCTTTTACTAAATAGACTGTTCCAGCTCATTATTTAGGGTGACAATACATTTTCTTTTTCCTGGACATGTCCTCTATTTGGGTCTTTAAAAAATGCATTCAGTCAGGATTTCTAAATTGTCTAACATGTCCCGGATTCTGCTTTCGTTTTCTTTAGCGAAGTTTATGCATTACTTCATCCGCAAACTTTGGCCGGTGCATCTCAATCTCTCAGCAGCACAAAGACGAGAGCGAGAGAGAGAGAAAGAGAGAGAGGGAGAGAGAGAGAGAGAGAGAGAACATGAGGGAGGGAGCAGATTTGACCTGTCAGTGGTGCACATGGATAGTAGGAGTGAAATAGTGGATTTCTTATTTTTTAGTTCATTTTTTACTTGAACACACTAAAAAGACACAGTGTCATGTAAAAGATGTTAAATGGTAAACATCTTTGTTGTTTTAATTGTCTGTTAAATAAGAATAAGAAATCATTCTGTTGCCAAGGGCCATTACAGTTTAAAAGAAAGAATGGTATTACTAATTTGAGGCGTTCCCATGTTTAACTCTTCTTTAAAAAGGCCAGAAAGATAAAGTGCTCAGATAAACAGTGTCAGCTTTGCACATGAGTTTGCAGTTCTGTCTCTATTTACATTGTCATACTTTTCCCATGTGGGCAGTAGGGTGGAATCTGTGCAATATATTATGCAAATAAAATGAATTTTGATAAATAAAATTATTCTTAAAAGTCACATTGTTTTATGTGCTGTGGAGAAAAGGAGTGTTTCAATCCATCTACTGCAAGTATGCTTGTTAAAGATAATATGTTCAATGTATTTTATTATAAAATTAATAAGGTTTGGGAACATTGATACAGCCATAATCTTCTTATGATACAAATACAGATTAAATGGATCTGATCATGTAAATGTTTGTACTAACCATACTGCACATTTTATAAATTTAACAAAAACTTACATCTGCTCCCCTGTGTGAAAGATATTTTTCAGCTCGAAACCGGATCACATATTCATCAAAAAGCTGTGTGTGAAATTGAAACTTTGGACACTCAACCTTTAGAAGTTGTTCAATTAACAATATTTTTTTCTCTTGTGTTTCTACCATTTGCTGATGGTAAAAAATAAATAACTAAAGTGACCTTTAATTAGTATTTTGCACTTTAAGAAATGTATATTTTTGTTTATTCAATTAAGATATTTTTCAGTATCTTCATATTTATTCTTTAACTCTTATATATATTCTTATGTAAAAGGTTCACATTTATGCAACCAATAGCTAATAAATTGTTTTTTTTTTCATACTTACTGTTGCTGACTTCTGTTCTCAGTTTAATTTAGCCCTTCTTACATTCCACTCAAAGAAATAGGTAAAAGTAAAGTATTCATCATTTGTGCTGATATCAGATTTATATCGGTATTGGTTCTTACTAAAGGCTGCAATATCGGTATCGTATCGGAAGTTAAAATGTTGTTTCGGGACATCCCTAATAACCAGTAGGGGGCAGCCGAGCTTCATTCTCAGTAGTGGCCAATTCTGAAGGCGGAGGGCTTGACTGCTTTTCCGTGGAAGGTGGAGGTGCTTTCTTCATGTTTTGTTTATATTTGCTAAAATCTAATACAATGATTCACCTGGGATAATTGTGCTTACTGTTTTCTAATAAGAGAAATAGTTTTTTTAGACACAGTATTGCCCACTCGCCACAGCCATGGCTCTAATATTACATTTTTGACTGTAGGCCTACATACAAAACTTTTACAGAGCTCAGTTACATGTTCCTTGATTAGTCATCAATAAACTTTTAAAGCCAAAACGACAGGCTGTAATTTAATTTAATATAGTTTAAATAAATAAAAAATATATCATATATATAAAAAATATGTCACCCTGCAGCCCAAGACCGGTTACTCACTGAAGCTAAGCAGGGCTGAGCCTGGTCAGTACCTGGATGGGAGACCACTAGGGAACACTAGGTTGCTGTTGGAAGTGGTGTTAGTGAGGCCAGCAGGGGGCGCTCAACCTGTGGTCTGTGTGAGTCCTAATGCCCCAGTAAAAGTGAAGGGGACACTATACTGTCAGTGGGCGCCGTCTTTCGGATGAGACGTTAAACCGAGGTCCTGACTCTCTGTGGTCATTAAAAAATCCCAAGGCACTTCTCGTGAAAGAGCAGGGGTGTAACCCCGGTGTCCTGGCCAAAGTCCCTCTATCGGCCCTTAACATCATGGCCTCCCAATCATCCCCTCTCTACCGAATTGGCTCTATCACTGTCCCTCTACTCCACCAATAGCTGGTGTGTGGTGAGCGCACTGGCGCCGTTGTCCTGTGGCAGCCGTCGCATCATCCAAGTGGATGCTGCACACTGGTGGTGGTGTGGAGAGACCCCCCCTCATGATTGTGAAGCGCTTTGGGTGTATGGCCATACACAATAAATGCGCTATATAAATACACATTACATTACATTACACATTACATATAATTTACTAGCGTATATGGTAAATAAATATAACATATTTACATAATATATATACATAAAATAAATAGGCTATTTTTTGAAAAATGGCCATGCATGTTTATTTCATTGACAAATAAGTATATTCTGTGTATTTGAAGAAGCAGTCAATCATGCACTGAATAAAACTGGCTATATAGCCTACCTTAAAACTTAAATATGCTATTAAAAATGGATATAAATGAAAGATGACAAGTTTAGTTTTGGGCTATTTAATAATGTGTTTTAAATTTTCATTAACAGCGCAAATCTAAACTTGTTATAGCCAAGCCATCTATATGCTTATGGTTGCTAGAAACCTACAGTTTTCTACATGTCTAGGGGAGAGCGGGGCACAAAGTAACACTTTTTGGTTTTGGTCAAAATATGAACAAAGTAATGGGGTTAGACAAACCATTTTTTTTTACAACACACAAGCTTCTCCAACAAATGAGCACTGGTTGTATGATCACCGGACCTATGGTTTCTGTGCAGTATTGCCAAAAGTGCCAGGAGCAAAAATTTTACTATTTACCCCGCCTGCGGGGCAAGTTGTAACAGACAGAGGGTTAGTTGTAACACATGCTTACAAAAGCAGATTTTACACCATTAATTTAAATTCAGTTTACTTTAAATAGTAGCTATATTTCCTCAGTAATTGGCTAATTTTGTTATTCTACATCAGGGGTGTCAAACTCAATTCCTAGAGGGCCGAAGCCCTGCACAGTTTAGTTCCAACCCTGCTCCAACACACTTACCTGTAGGTTTCATACAAGCCTGAAGGACTCAATTAGTTTGATCAGGTGTGTTTAATTAGGGTTGGAACTAAACTGTGCAGAGTTGCGGCCCTTTTGGAACTGAGTTTGACACCTGTGTTCTACATAGTACAGTATGTTTATTTATTTATTTATTTATTTATTTATTTATTTATTTATTTGTTTATTGGATAGACACATTTGAATCTATTTGCATTCAGGAATAATTTGCATTATTATCCATTTATCCATCATTACACAATGCATTTATTTGCATTATTAACAATAAAATATTTTTTTTCTATAAAAAATTTTTATTAAAAAACATTTTTATTTAAAAAATTCTCAACGTTACACTTAAAAAAAAAAAAAAAAAATATATATATATATATATATATATATATATATATTTTTTTTTTTATTATTATTATTATTATTATTATTTTGGTTTAATTGGTGTCAAAACTGGCTAGCAGTCACTGGGTTTCTTACATCTTTCAAAATGGTTTCATCTTTTAGCCTACAAGACGGAAGTCGCAACAATATACAATTTCCCTAACATACTTTTACTTTTGATTTTCAATTTTTTTTTAATAAAAAAAATATGTACTATACTTAAAAATACTTTTATGCTACAAAAAATGGTTTCTCCTGTGTTTCTCATCCAAATTTCACCAAACTTTTTCCAACAATTGGCAGGAATACATCTACTGAAACTGTGGTGAAAACCTCGGAAGCATGCCATGGTTAACCCTGAGCAAAAACCTTAAAACTCTGTGTTACATTTAACCCTGTGTTACATTTAACCCCGCGTTACTTTGTGCCCCAGGCTTCCCTATAGGTCCTTGTTTAGTTTTAGTCTAACTGGAGTAAAAGGGATATTTTTAAAGCATATTTTATGAGTTACCTGTATTCTAAAACAAACTAATTAAATATTGAGATATTAAAATTAGAGAACACTTCCTGATTCCTCTGGTGTTGGTAAGTTCCTTAATTACTTGGCAAACCTTGTTTTGCTCAAACCCACCAATATTATGGTGTCCAGATGAAGGCAAAAGGAATGACCCTTTCAGCCATATATAAGCTGGCCCTTACAAATCTGATTTATACAACACCGCACCTTTAAAATGTCACTAACTCATTCAAGTCACCTGGTCGGCCACGAATGACAAATGCAGGAGAGGTCAGGATAATGTGAAGAATCTCAATGAGCAATCGGTTTAAAAATGCAGCTGGAATTGGTCAGCAGTTCACCTCTGAACAGGCTAATGATTTATATCCTGCACATTTATGACTGCTATAACCTTTGGAAATGTACAATTACTACAGTTAAAATCATTGCTGTTCTCAAAATTTGATCATTGTATTTTCCATAAAATAAAGAGTCTTTGTTATTCATTGGTTATTTTGTAAACTGTGCACTGTTCCATTGGCATGGTATATTTTAAACATTTATTTCAGATAGTGTTTTTGGTATAGTTTATATACGTACTTTACAATATTACGTACTTTACAATATACCAAGTAGGATTTACATATAACATGATGGCATAATGTGATTGGTACCTTGAGTTTGGTCAGGTGCTCGATGGCAGGAGATGTGTCCAGTTTCGGAGGGAGATAAAGTTCCCATTTCCCATGCTCATTCTGCGTGAAAGGGTAAGACTGTTTTTCCCAGGAATCTGAAGGAAAACATAATTAATTATTAATAGCCACTGACCTATTTTTTTTGTAATTTGGGTTTATGCTTATGAAATAAGATTAAAAGCTAAAAGTGAAAAAAAAGTGAAAAACATAAAAAAAAATTTGAATGTTTTTATCAGAGCTATCTGTCTGGGAATATACGATGATACTTTATATGACAAGGCTGAATAGAATAAACGTTACATTGTCAACAAATTAAAAAAAAACTCATTATTTGCTCACATTCAGTAATTAAAAATACATAAGAATTCGATCGCCTTCAATGCGGAATGAGGACTTTTATTCACATATAAAGTCTGATCAGCAAACAATGTTTACAGCATTCAGATTTGGTAACAGAAGCTCAAGTGTGCTTGATTGATGCATGAACCAATGGGGTTCATTCTTGAGCATAACATGACACATCTGCGCACCAATGAGCAGGTGGGTAACTTTATATTTATGTTCAGTGATCGATGGTGCTTTAATTCAAAGCGACTGACAAATGATTCTAAAAAAACACTTCAAATCACCAGAGAGCAGCAATATATATGACAAGTCTAAGCTAGTTTAGCATTTTCTCTTATTGTTGTTTGAAAAAATATCTTTATGATCTGAGGATGAATGCTTTAGACTTACATGTTTGGAAACATCACAAAGTTAAATGGTGAGCATATTTTAACATTGATCTTAGCTAACGCTTTAAATGAAAAGCGAATAAATGAAAAGAGTGGTTTTACAGTACTGGGTTGCATTTGCTACGTAAAACATGTCATGTGCTGGATAAGTTGGTGGTTCATTCCGCTGTGGTGATCACTGATAAATAAGGGACAAATCTGAAGGAAAATGGATGGGAATCAATGAGTAGATGGCTGTTTATGTGCGAGTCAGACAGGTTGCTCGCTACTATAAAAACAATTGCAAACTCCATGTGTGTTCACAAGAATATTTTTAAGTGGCTTCTTTGGAAAAGCCCATTCATACAAGTGCTATAAAGAGCTCTTGATATGATTTGTTGAGGCGCTTTTACTCCATTCTTGAACTGTGGAGCTCCTTAAAGTGATTGTTGACCTTCTTGTGACAGTTTTCGCATGTTTCTTTTCATTGACAGTTTTTTTTTTCTCTCCACACACAAACGTCTCTAGAACAAGTAGCTTAAACTTGGACTCTTATCCCAAATTCAATAAATTCATTTTCCTTTGGCTGAGTCCCTTTATTCATCTGGGGTTGCCACAGTGAAATGAATTGCCAACTTATCTAGCACATATGTTATGCAGCGGATGCCCTTCCGGCTACAACCCAGTACTAGAAAACATCCATATACACACACACTGCGGTCAGTTTCACTTTATTTAATTTACCTATACCGCATGTCTTTGGACTGTGGGTGAAACTGGAGCACAAGGTGGAAACCCACGCGAAAATGGAGAGAGCATGCAAACTCCCAATAGAAATGCCGACTGACCCTGTCGGGACTCAACCTTCTTGCTGTAAGGTGACCGTGCTAATCACTGAGCCACCATGCCGCCTCAGATTTTTAAATGTGAAATGTAATTTTTCTCTTTTTGGGGTTAAATTATATGAAATAAAATAAGTTTATCAGGTTAATTTCATGACTTTATTTAATGTGAAAATCCACCAAATCTTATATTTAATAATAATAATAATATGAGGGTAAATTTTACCGCCGTGTTGAACACTTTTCCAAAATTATACATTTCATTTAATTAATTTCTAAAATAAAAAAAACAAGATCGATAAAACACCAATAATAACAATTTTTTGCTGAATTGGGGTTTCTAGGAGTTCTTAATACAAAATACATAAAGTATTGGTAAATATCGAGGATATTCACAAACTAAATGGCAACCCTATGAGGACTTTGAGGACAACAAACATTTAACAAACAAATACACTTCTTTTAACATGTATCATACACATAGACATCAACATATTGGAAAAAACACTATATACACATACTGTATAACTGCAGGTCAACTATATACTGTCCGACTCTAATGTTTCAATAATGTTTTAAAGCTGCTTTGAAATGATTATTGTGCTTTGATGAACACCGCTCTAAACACAAACACATGCAAAAGCCACAACAAAATAAAAGCACAATAAATGTTCAGTAAAAAAAAAAAAAAAAAAAAAATATATATATATATATATATATATATATATATATATATATATATATATATATATATATATATATATATATATATATACATATAAAAGAGTGACAATAATTATTATGACCAAACATTTGCTTGCTTAATTCAAGTCAGGTTGTGTAAGTCATTATCTCACAACAGGCCTAAATGTGTGCATTTACTTTGTGAATTGGCTTTCTTTAAGATTTGTTTTTTTTAAATGCTGTTTAAGTTTTATTTTTTAGAGCTGTTTGAGAATCCCCAGACTGAATAATGAACCTTTAACTGTGGGATTTTATCTGTAAGATTTTGCAAATATTGAAGTCAGTTGCAATTGAGACCCATATTTGCAGCTCAGCTCTGAATAAATCTGTGCAAACAGCAGTAATATTTATTCATTAATTTATTATTAGTTGGTTTGCATTCTTTTCCTCTAATACAACCAGAAAAACCTATTTCACTGGATTTCAGAGTCACAATGATATAAAAAAACACACTAAATAATCAATTGTATATACTGTATGTTGCACAAAGAGACTTAATATTTTGTTTTACTTAACAATTAGCTCATTGCATTTTATAGATTATTAAAATGATAGAACGCTTTGGTTGCATTTACAATTTATCGAAATAATTCAAAGCTTTGACACAACTGTCTCTCCCATTACTGCTACTTCTACTGGTTTCCATACACGAGAGCTGAAATATAAACTTAATGTACCAGTATACGGTTATAAAATATTGATCATGAAATGTATTTTGTATTTATTTATTTTTGTAGATAGTGTTGAAGTAACATTTAAGCTCTACTATATTTATGGTGATGTGCATCTACTGGCAGTACTGGCAGATATCAGGCAAAACTAATGCAACTCTTAATGGAAATAAACTTTGTGGCATTGCATATGATTGTCAATATAATACCACACTAAAGAGTGTAAACCACTCTCACAAGGGGAACCACTATTTTGCAGTACCAACAATGTTCAATGGGGAACATTTTTGGGTTTTTCATTTGTGAAAAATAAAAGCTTCATATACTACAAGAGCCCAATGAAAACTGATATTTGGCATACTGGAATATAACCACGGCATACTGTACATCATCTGACATGGTAGTTTAAGAAATATAAAAAGCTACACACTCCATCAGTTATGGTTAAAATCATTTTTACCAACTAATCTATTCACTACAATAAACATCCAATAATACTGAAATATGACCATGGGGTACATCATCTGACACTGTTGCTTAATAAATAAAAAGCTGCACACTGCATCAGTGGTTCCAACAAATCTAATGATTGCAATAAACTTCCAATTATCCATTCTCATCCTCTCCAACATTCCAGATAATCCATTAGAATCAAAACTGATTTAGACATCTTCAACACTTCTCAAATTATTACAGTTTTAGACAATCTCTGCAGTTAAACTGTCTGAACCAATTAATCTTGGTATTGTTAAATAAATTTAATAGCAATTAGTGGATCACAATCAACCAAAAATTCATTGATTCATTCATTGATTGATTCATTCATTCATTAATTTTCCTTTGGCTTAGTCCCGTTATTTAACAGGGGTTACCACAGTGGAATGAACCGCCAACTTTTCCAGCACATTTACATAAAATAAATGGTGTTCTGCATGCACTAGTAAAAACAATTTTAAATATATGTGTAGTGTCTGAATAATTTGTGGTTTGACTGTAGACTCTGAAGCACTTCCCAAATCTAAACATCAACTTTTTTGGCCAGGCAGCCTATATATATTTATATATAGGTCTAAACTAGATACATGAACCTTTTAAAATGAACTTTTCAATGTTTAAATAAAACTACCATCTACATTTGCATGCAGATTCTCTCAAAACAGACTAGGAATCTGCATACTTCTGCAAGGCACAGTATATTTACATACTCTTTAAAAGCAACTTCATTCATCCATGGCTTCAACAGCTGAATAAATGCGGAGGCAGAGTCTAGCGAAAACGCAGAGCTGCATAACCACAGCTGACTTTACCAACTCCCTCAGACTCTTCATTCAGTTTCTGGGAAAAAAGCCACGCAAGACTGCATGACCCCCCTCTCTCAAAAGCACTGAAAAGAGATACTGATTTGTTGTGGGTAATTTCTGCCGTTCTGCCCCGTACGCCTCTGTGTATCTCTTTTCACATTACATACTCTAATGGAGAGCAGAAAGGGAATATACATAAATAAATCAATAAAGGACCAGCGCCAGCGCAATATGCTTACCCCACCTGCAGCCCAGCTCAAGAACCAGCTCCCCCAGACCCAAATTTTCTCTCTCTCTTTCTCTCACTCGCTCTCTTTTCAAACCCACTGTGAAATTGAAACCATATAATATGAGCCATGTCAAAACGCAATCTCACGCCAAATTGGAAGTAGGGATTTCCTATGACACTGCCTCTGGGTCTCAGGGAGAGATAATTACAAAAAAGGCAGAGGGATAAATAGAAAAGGGAAGGATGTGATATATTGGGGGGATGGTCAGGCAGGAGAGCGTCCGCCGGTCATACAGATATAAGTAGTGTCACTGCGAGAGGACAGACAACATTTTGCTGCGATCTTGAATTCTAGTAAACAGCTTCTTTTCCCAGAGGGAACGACTTGGCCTTTTCACCCATCCGTATGGATTCACTAACTCTGAGAAAGGTGTAGATGCATCGATAGCAAACACACCCACACTTCATGTACTCGCTGATGTAGTGCAGCAACTGTGAGTGCGAGTATTTTAAAGCAGGTCTGCCAGTTTATAAACCGACAAAAAAATACTTTATTACTTGGATGTTTTATATATTTTATCATTACATACTGTTT